TTATCCGTTCTAACCCGACCGCTCAGCAATTTCATGGAGTGCCCACAAGTTCTTGTATTGTGAGAAAGGGAGAAAAGTATCTCTTTCTCTACCTGCTCTTTCCCATGCATAATCTTATAAACCTCAATCATGCTACCCCTCAGTCGTCGTTTCTCCAAGCTAAAGAGTCCTAACATATTTTTGTCAGGAGATCCACAAGTTCACAATTGAGTTCTTTCAGAACTCTTGGATGTATGCCATCTGGGCCTGGTGATTTATCAGTTTTTAAGTTGTTTATCAGTTTTAGGACCTCCTCTCTCGTCACCTCAATCTGACTCAGGTCTTTCAACACCCCTCCTGAAATCAGTGGTTCTGGAGTGGGCAAGCACTTCTCATCTTCCACAGTGAAGACGGAGGCAAAAAATGCATTTAGCTTCTCAGCCATTTCCCTATCATCCTTCAATACTCCTTTTACCCCTTGGTCGTCCAAGGGCCCCACTGCCTCCCTGGCTGGTTTCCTGTTTCTAATGTATTTGAAGAAAGTTTTATTGTTGGTTTTTACGTTTTTTGCTATATGCTCCTCATATTCCCTTTTTGCATGCCTGACCACAGACTTGCATTTTATTTGCCATAGCCTGTGTTCCGTTTTATCAGCCTCACTGTGACTAGCTTTCCACCGCTTAAAGGAATCCTTTTTACCTTTTACAGCTTCCATTACTTTGTTAACCATGTAGGCTTTTTCTTATACCGGTTTGTGCCTTTCCTAACCTGCGGAATATATTTTCTTTGAGCTTCTAGAATTGTAGTTTTAAATAGTTTCCAAGCTTCCCCAATGGTTTTGACCCTTTCTACTTTTCCCTTCAGTTTCCTCCCCACATGTCCCCTCATATCAGAAAAATTACCCCTTTTAAAGTTAAAAGTGGTTGTGTGAGTCTTTTTGGCCAATTCCCTATTTGTACAAATGTTGAACTCAACAACATTATGATCACTGTTCCCAAGCGGTGCAATCACTTTTACATCTCTCACCAGGTCTTGAGTGTTACTTAGGGCCAAATCAAGGATCACCTCTCCCCTGGTAGGTTCCATGACCATCTGCTCCATAGCACAGTCATTTAGAGTGTCTAGAAACTCAATCTCTTTCTCTCGACTAGAACACATATTGACCCAATCAATGTGTGGGTAGTTAAAATCACCTATTACGACACAGTGTTTTTGTCTAGGAAGGGGCTCTTTAGATATCAAGAAAGTCTGTGTTCTGTGCCAATTTGGTGCCATTATCTTCATAAAGAGTTGCCGCAGACCCTCATACATATATATAATGTCCTACCTATGAATAAACAATCATGGTAACCCTGAGCTCCAACCTTGATATGAAATTATAACTTTTTTTCTTAGCACACAACCATGGTGTCTAGCTAATCTCATAGAGTGATGGGAACCATTAAGGTTCCTTGGTGAAAGCTGGGAATCACCTTTCTCTTTGCCATGAGGAAAGATGGAAACAACATTTCCTTGTAATTACTTGGCCACCTATTCAAGAGCTACTTACCAGCCACTCTCCGTAAGAATATTTTCTCTTTGAGGGGTCCTCCTGTTTTATGGACAGCCCTCCAGAAGGCTTTTAATTGAAAATTTCAAAAGCATTACAAAATTTCAGAGACATTCTCAAACGAAACGAAATACCAAGAAAAATTAACCAATTAGTTAAAATCTGAATTAAAAGGTGTAGTCTAAATCTAATGAATGCTGGGAATCACTTTTCTCTTTGCCCTGAGGAAAGAAGGAAATGACATTCCTTTGCAATTTCCTGGCCACCTATTAAAGAGCTACTTACCAGCCACCCTCCATAAGAATATTTTCTCTTTGAGGGGTCCTCCTGTTTTATGGACAGCCCTCCAGAAGGCTTGCTTTACTTCTACGTTCCTTATGGTATAAATGAAAGGGTTCAGCATGGGGGCCAGGACCATGTTCAAGACTCCTACTGCCTTGTTGAATTGAAAGGAAGAGTGCACATTGGGCCGAACATACATAAAAGCTATGGCTCCGTACAGAATTGAAACCACCGTCAAATGAGATGTGCAAGTGGAAAATGCTTTCTTGCGCCCACTCGCTGATGGGATACGTAAAATGGTAGAGATGATGTAAACGTAGGACACCACAATGAGGAAAAGAGTGATGACCACAATGGAGATGGCTGACAGCAAGGCCAGGAATTCTAGCAAACGAGTGTCAGCACAGGACAAACTCAACACTGGCCCAAGGTCACAGAAATAATGGTCTAGTACATTTTTTTCACAGAATGGCAGAGTCCATATCATGACGGCTTGGAAGAAATTATATAGAAACCCTCCTAGCCAGCACCCCATGGCCAACTGGATGCAGACATTTTTG